CATCTCCATCTCCCCTGCTGGACCAAAGCTCAGGGTGGGGGAGGCAGTTTGGGTTTCTGACCGGCACCATTCCCTCAGCTAATGCAGACATTCGATAGATAGCTATCTGCTTAATGAATGGGTCCAACCCATAACTTGCCCAAGGTCCCCAGCTCCTGAATGGCAGAGAGAGGCTAAAAACCCGGCGGCTGGCTCCAGCGCCATGCCAGCATGCCGTCCGCCCTGCAGAGTCCCTGCACAGACTGCCCTGCTCCCTGCCTCCAGATCCCAGGGGCAGGGGCAGAGCTGCCCCAGGACAGGGAGGGAGCACTCTGAGCAGCCCGACTCCGGGAGGGCAGCCAACTGCACGGCCAACACCCAAATGCTTACCTCCCCAGCTCTCTCCTGCCCCAACCGAACCCTCAAACCTGTAGCTAGGGCTTCTCACATAATAAAGAATAACATTATCACGTAATTGAATCACAAAGCATTTCACCCACAGAGCACGAGTGAACCCTGCAAAGCCCTATGAGGTAGTGGGTGTCACGCTCCCCAGAGGCTGAGGGTGGAAGAACACTAGCCACCTGACATGCATGTCGCCAGGCCCTCTCCACTGCATCCACTCACTCACTCCTCATCGTCAGCCTGCAAAGCTGTCGCCGTCCCCTTGTACAGATGGGAAACTGGGAATTGGAGAGGATGGAGGACAGCACTGGGGCCCTGCCATCGGTCACCGAGAGCCCGCAGTGAGCCCAGGGCACCGGAGACTGGAGATGTGAGTCCCACCAGGAAGCAAGTCCCCCTGCAGGAGACCACCGAGTCCTGCTCAGAGAGCCCAGGCCCACCCAGCCCTGGGAGTAGACATGGCTTCAGTCTGGCCCGCTGACCCCTCTCTCTATAGCCACCCTTCGATCATTATTTGATATTCCAAACAGGATCCCAGACGATCAGCCTGGGGGTGCCCTGGGCAGTCTTCCTTGGGCATCACCACCCAACCCTGCTGAATGGGGCCTCCAGACTCAGGGGGCTGAGCCGGGAGAAGGCATGGGACCCCCAGGCCTCTGCAGCAGACAGATAGTGAGAGCAGTGGACACGCTGGCCAGGAGGCAGGGGACATACGGAAGAAGGTGGGAGAGTGGGGCCCTAGTGGTCTGACAAGCAGCAGCAGGTTTGGGGGCAAAATGGAAGCCAACAGGCCGGCCCAGGGCCCTTCCCCACCTCTCCATCCTGGGCCTCGCCCCTCTCTGCACCCTGCACCCATACAGGGGATCGATGGCAAACCTAGAACACAACTGCCCGGGGTGTAAAGGAGAAGCAGTGTCCACACATACTCTCTCATCATACTCTCCTGAACATTCTAGTGAAAGTCAGGGTCCTTACTTGGATAAAAATACAATTCATAATGGCCATGGTTGGGTCCTTCTGAGTCTTGAGTCCCACAAAGAGACAAGCTTCAAGCCTCCCCCAGCACACCCCCAAACCTCACTTGGTGTTTTAATTGTTCCAAGGCAGTGAATTACTAGCACCTCTTCCCCATCCACCAGCCCCACAGCCCCTCTGGCTCAAGCGATGTCCGCAGCAGGTCTGGGGCCTGCTTGCACAGCCTCTTCCCAGAAGTCCCCGCAGCAAACCAATGACAACTTCTTCCCACTTGGGGTACAGGCCTGGACCCAGCGTTATGGACTATATGGTCGTAAAGTTGCCAGGCATTGTGGCTGCCGTAGAAACTGCCCAGAACACAGAAGACAAATGCGCAGCTGCCGTCTATAAAAATGTCAGCCTCAGAAGAAGCTGCCGGTTCGGGCTCTCATACTGCGAGACGCTCACAGAGATTAGAGAGAGTATCTGCCACAGTTATTTTGAGTCCATCCAGGCTCTCCCCAGGGCCTCTGCTTAGGGTGGTCTTTTCCTCCTCAAACGGCGCTCTCGCGGCCATGTGTGGAACAGGCAGGCTCCTTCTGCTTTCTACGTGCTTTCCCAACCTAAGGAGTTTGGCGCAAAGATCAGACTTCACCCTAAGATAACTCACCTCTGCATGCCAACCCTGAAGTCCCCAGAGGAAAAATCCAGGTAGAGAAAGGCCTTTCCGACTCTTCCCAGACTCTTCCCAACCGTCCCAACCTCAAGTCCCATCGCATCCCACTGGACACAGCACGTGCCAGCCCCAGGGCAGCGCTGGCCATTCTCCCAGCAGGCCAGGCGCACTCACACCTGCAGGCCTTTTGCTCATACACTTCCTCTTTCTGGCTGCTGTCTTCTCCGCTTGACAAAATACAACCCAACCACTGCTGGTTCCCAAAGTACCCTGATAAAATGGCCTATCCTCTGAGAAGACCCTTTACCCCAGAAAAGGGCTTCTCACCCTAATGTTCCCACCAAAAGCCCCATGATGCTGTGTGCCTGGCCCTCTCCCAGAAGCTTACAGTCGGGTGTCCCCTGCCCCGTCCTCTGGACTACCCTTCCCCGAGGGCAGGGAGCTGCTCACTCCAGGCTAGAGCTTCAGCACCCGGGGCAGTTCCTGGCTCTGTAAGCATTTGCTGAATTAAATCAAGGCTCTT